CATTCTTCTTTAAGGGCGGCACATAACCCCCCCTCCTGCAGGAAGAGGAGGTCTAATCCCCTCCGGTTCTGCAGAACTACTTCAGACAGGGAGGTGAGTGACTTTTCCAAGGCGCTCACGGATTCCTCCAGTGCCTGGATATCGGTATGCATGGCAACCTGGAGTTGTCTGAACTGGTTGGTTTCCATGAGGGCAGTGGTACCTGTGCCTATTCCGGCAGCGACTCCTCCCATAGTTAACCCACCTAGTATCAGGGCCAGGGTTAGCGAGACTGGCTCCCTTTTTATACGGGGGACCCCTGTCTCATATCGGGCATAGATATCTTCAGGTGCACGGTAGACTATCTTGGGGTACAGTTCTATGAGCACACAATAATCGGCCGTGTTGGCTAGTATTGAGGAGGAGAGGCATGGTGTAAGTCCAGTGCTACAGGCCCAATAAGTCCCGTTGGGAGCCACGAGATAGTGGGGTCCTGGAACAAGTGCCTGGGTGCGATTACACAGGTGTTGGTGGGTGTAGGGTACTATCCCCAGACATAGTCCTTGTCCTGACACCTCGGAGATTGTGAGCTTATGCTGAGGTGTCGAGGCACATCCTGACGGGGGTGAAGAAGAATTGGTGAAGCTTCCGACTACGGCCACCCCCTCATAATAGGGGGGTGTGGAGACTAGGCATAACCAGCATTCCTGAGTCTGATTTGGGTTGGTAACATTGAGGGCTGAGTAAGCGCCCTCTATAAGATTCAATAGCCGGTCTCCCGTACCGGGCCTGGGTGGCTGGAGGGTGACTGGGGTTATAGTGGCGTTCGGAGCCGTGCTTGGGCAAATGGCCGAATTGGGTCGGGGGGTAGCCCTCGGGGGTGCCGGAGCGGGTAAAGAGGGGCGCTTTTGGTCAGAGAGAACCTGGTTGGGACCTATAGAGGCGGAGGGCTCTGTGATTTTAAGCCTAATCGTAAACACGACTCCCTGGTCCCATCCCGTCATGTAAAGTCTAAGTCCCCATGTTCTACCTTTAATCCAGTCTTGTGTTATCTCCCTTCCCTTTTGAGTAAAAGATATATTCAGGGGGTTGCAGGTGAAATTTACACAGGGCCCCCCCCTTTCCAGTAAGTGTTATCTCTTCCTGACGTGACAGTTCCCCAACAACGTCCTTGAGTAAGAGGACGCCATAAGTGGCTTTCTCTTTGGGTAGCCCTTTTTACCCTAATGAGGTCCCAAGTGGATGAAGGCTCCCAATAGGTATTACCAGTTGTTTCACATCCCCATGCTTTACAGAAGTAACTTTCATAACCCCCACATTGTCTAATCATCTTTCTGTCCCTACCATCCCGGGGGCAGACGTAAAAGGATAGTTGTGACAGGGCTGCTCTGGTTTCAGGGTGACCACATCCATATCTCCCGTCACTACATTTGCAAGTTCCCTTACCATCCTGACAGACTTCTGGTGCTCTGGGGTTCATGGGGTCAGTGGTAGGGATGTCCCAGTCCCCTGACCCTGCTACTAGTTGGCAGAGATCTGGATGCAAGTTGGGCCACCATGTGAAGGGGGTGTGAAGGGCGGTCGTTTGCCAGACCATCTCCCCAGTTTGTGAGATAACCTGCCAAGTGAGCCTCTTAACTAGGTGCGGGCTCTCTGCCGCCCTAGTCCCCTGGGGGTAGGCAGAGATTAAGAGGAGGGGGAGGAAGAGGAGCCGCGGGCCAACCTTATTTTTAGGGGGTTTCGTGTGCGGCGCACTGTCCATGTTGACTTTCTGGATCCTGCTGGGTCGGGTTCCCTGGCAGCCTTCACATGCGAGGCGTGGATCCATGCAGCAATCCCGTCGACCTTGAGTGCAGTGGGGGGTGGTCAGCAAGACAGTGTAGGGCCCCTTCCACCGTGGTTCCAGATTCTTGGTCTGGTGTCGTCGGACCCAAACGGAGTCCCCGATCTGGAAGGGGTGGGGCACCACCGGCTTGTCTAGCTGCTCCTGGTAGGCCTTGGCCAGGGGCTTCCAGATCTCCCTCTGCACCAGTTGGAGGGCTTGAAGATGTGCCTCTAAAGTAGGGGTGGTAGCAAAGGAGGAAATATCAGGATGGAGAAAGTCTACAACAGGAGGTGGGGCCCCATACATGATCTCAAAAGGGGTTAGGCCGTGTGGGCCAGGAGTATTTCGGGCTCGGTAGAGAGCCAAGGGAAGTAGGAGCACCCAATCTCTAGTGCCAGTTGCAAGCGTTAATTTGGTTAAAGTCTCCTTGATTGTTCTATTAGCTCGTTCTACCTGTCCTGAGCTCTGGGGGCGGTATGCACAATGGAGTTTCCAATCAACCCCCAATAGTTTGGCCACCTTCTGACTTACCTGAGAGACGAAGGCAGGCCCGTTATCCGACCCCAATATTTGAGGCATCCCATACCTGGGGAAGATTTCTTCCAACAGTTTCTTTGTTGCCACGTTAGCCGTCTCATTCTTGGTTGGAAATGCCTCGATCCATCCAGAAAAAGTGTCCACGAAGACCAGGAGGTACCGGTACCCATAGAGTCCGGGTTTTACTTCTGTAAAGTCTATTTCCCAATGAACACCAGGACGATGGCCTCTTTGGCGGGCCCCCTTGTTTAGATGAACCTTTCCTGCGTTGACTTGAGCACAGGCTGGGCAGGTAGAAGTTACCTGCTGAAGTACCTGATCCTGGTTCAGCAGCACTGTCCAGGTGTTTTCTCTGTCCAATAGGGTCTTCATCTTGTTTTTGCTCAAATGGGTCAAAGCATGGAGGAATCTTAGCATGTATCGGGTATGGGAGGTTGGCATGACCATCCGGTCCCCTAGTATATATGCCTGTCTTCCTTGTTCCCAGTCCGCCCCCATTTTCTTTGCTAGCTCATGGTCTTCTGGGCTATAGGGCACGGGGTCTCTCTCAGGCTGTGGTTCTTGTATGGCCATCAACTGGCTGCTCCCTGCTGGCTGGGAAGCCACTGTTCGGGCAGTCAGATCCGCCAGCCGATTCCCTCTGGCTACCGCAGAGTCATCCTTTTGATGCCCTGGGCAGTGGACAATACTGAGTTGGAGCGGGAGGAACAGGGCCTTTAGGAGGTCTAGGATCTCTTTTTTGTTTTTGATTTCCTTACCCGCGGACGTCAGCAGGCCTCTCCGTCTGTAGATTTCCCCGTGGACATGCGCAGTGGCGAAGGCATATCTGCTGTCAGTATAAACTGTGAGCTTCTTACCTTCTGCCATCCGGAGAGCTTGGGTGAGCGCAATCAGTTCTGCGCGCTGGGCCGATGTCCCGGGCGGGAGTGACGATGCCCATACTACTTCCGATTCGGTGGTTATAGCTGCCCCGGCTCTGCGTTTCCCCTCCTCCAGGAAACTGCTCCCATCTGTGTACCAGACAGCGTCTGGATTCTTAAGCGGCTGATCTGTCAGATCAGGGCGGGTGCCATGTGCTTCGGCTAGAATCTGGAGGCAGTCATGCTCCTCGGAGGGGCTAGGCAGTGGCAGCAAGGTAGCAGGGTTAAGGGAAACTGTCGGCCCAAAATTTACCCGGTCTGAGTCCAGCAGTAAGGCCTGATAGTAAGTCATTCTGGCGTTAGAAAGCCATCTGTCCGGTGGTTGTCGGACCAAGGCCTCCACTGCATGGGAGGCCAGCACAGTCAACGGCTGTCCCAGAGTCAGCTTCCCGGCATCCTTAAGTAATACGGCGATGGCTGCCACCATGCGGAGGCATGATGGCCATCCTGTAGCCACCGGGTCCAATTTCTTGGACAAGTACGCTACAGGTCTCCTCCAAGGTCCCAGTCTTTGCACCAGTACCCCTTTGGCAAAACCTGAGTTCTCATCCACAAACAGCTCAAAGGGCTTGGCTAGATCTGGCAGACCCAGAGCCGGGGCCTCGAGTAAGGCCTTCTTGATCTGTTGGAACGCTTTCTGATGCTTCTCCTCCCATTGGAACATGGCCCCTGGTTTAGTGAGGGGGTACAATGGGGCTGCCAGTTCGGCAAAGCCAGGAATCCAAAGGCGGCAGTACCCAGCCGTACCCAGGAGCTCTCGAACTTGGCGGGGGTTCCGAGGAGGGGGGATGGAGATTATCGTCTCCTTCCTCGCTCTTGTTAACCATCTTTGCCCCCCGCTCAGGGTGTAGCCCAGGTAGGCAACCTTGTCTCGGCATATTTGAGCCTTTCTGGCTGAGGCTCTATAGCCCTTTTGTCCAAGTCTGGCCAATAAGGCTCGAGTGCCCTCCAGGCACTCGGTTCGACTCCTGGCCGCCAGGAGTAGATCATCCACGTACTGGAGCAGAGTCAGGGTTGGGTGTTCGACCCGGAATCCGGCCAGATCTGCATGTAGGGCTTCATCAAAGAGGGTTGGGCTATTTTTGAAGCCTTGAGGGAGCCGGGTCCAGGTTAACTGTCCCGAAAGCCCTTTTTCTGGGTCCCTCCATTCAAAAGCGAATAGCATTTGACTTTGAGGGTGCAGTCTCAAACAAAAGAAGGCATCCTTCAGGTCTAGCACAGTGTACCAGACGTGGGTCGGTGGGAGGGTGCTCAGAAGGTTATAAGGGTTGGGCACCGTGGGGTGTATGTCCTCCACCCGCTTATTGACCTCTCTCAAGTCCTGGACCGGCCTGTAGTCCCCTGTCCCCGGTTTCTTAACAGGCAAGAGAGGGGTGTTCCAAGGGGACTGGCAGGGCTTTAGCACCCCTTGGTCTAGGAGCCTTCGAATATGGGGCTTGATCCCCTCATGAGCTTCCCGTGACATTGGGTATTGTCTAATTGAAACGGGAGTTGCGGAGGCCTTTAGTGAGATCACCAGCGGTGGCTGATCGTGTGCCAGCCCCAAGCCCCCAGTCTCTGCCCAGGCCTGAGGAAACTCTCTCAGCCAGTTCTGTAGTTCCTCAGGAGATTTCTCCGGGGGCTCTGGTTCAAACAAACGGTATTCTTCTTCTAAACTGAGGGCAAGGATTTGTAGAGAGTCTCCTTTAGGACCCGTGACCCTCGGTCCCTTCTCATCAAAATAGATTTGTGCCTTCAATTTGGCTAATAGGTCCCGTCCTAACAGCGGATGGGGGCATTCAGGTATGTGCAGAAAAGAGTGAGTTACTTGCCCTGATGCCAGTTGGACTTTTCTCTCGGCAGTCCAATAATACCTCTTGTTTCCAGTTGCCCCCTGCACCAGTGCAGAATGCCGGCTAAGAGGCACTCCGGCATGGGTTAGGACTGAATGTTCGGCACCAGTATCAACCAGGAAGGTCACGGGCTGCCCCCCGATCTTGAGGGTTATCCTAGGCTCAGGGGGGGGGCTCCTGGCCTCGACTCCCCTAGTCTTCCAGACTAAGGAGGTCTACAGTCTTGGGCTTGGGCCGGCGGGGTCCTTGTGGCTTCTTGGGGCACTCTCGGGCCCAGTGTCCCTTCTCCTTGCAGTAAGCACATTGATCTTTATCAAGGGGTGGCCTCCTTCGCTCTCCCGACCTATCTCCCTCTCTCTGCTGTCCCTGAGACACAACGGCGGCCAAAACCTTTTTTATCTCCCTATGCTGTTTCTTGTCCCTTTCCTCTTGTTTCTGCCATCTCCTTTCCTCACGCTCCTCAGGAGTTTCTCTCTTATTGAACACTTTCTCTGCTTCCTTCAATAAGTCTGGCAAACCTAGCGCCTGTAAACCTTCCAGCCGCTGCAATTTGGTTCTGATATCTGAGCTAGACTGATAGATAAATGATAGGATGACACCTGGTGCTTGCCCTGGGTCTTCTGGATCATACGGAGTGTACATCCTATAAGCCTCCTTCAGCCTCTCTAAAAATGCAGCGGGTGTTTCTTCCTTTCCCTGTATCACATTCCTTACCTGGGCCAAATTGGTAGGCCTTCTGGCGGCCGCTCGGAGACCCGCTAAGAGCAACTGGCGATAGAGACGTAGATGCTCCCTACCTTCAGGTGTATTGAAGTCCCAGTCTGGGCGGGTCAAGGGAAAAACTGCATCGATGATATTTGGGAGTTGGGTTGGCCTCCCATCGTCGCCCAGAACCTGCTTCCGGGCCTCCAGGAAAACTCTCTGCTTCTCCTCTACTGTTAAGAGGGTCTGCAGGAGCTGCTGACAGTCGTCCCAAGTCGGCCTGTGAGTCACTAGGATGGACTCAATTAGGCCGGTTAAGGCAACAGGATCCCTGGAGAAAGGGGGATTATGTTGTTTCCAATTATAGAGGTCTGAGGCTGAAAAGGGCCAGTACTGCAACTGGCGATTCGGCCCCTCTCTAAGCGGGAAGGCCCTGGACTCAATAGGGGGGCCATCCCGGCGGCCGCGGAGGCGGCCGGCAATGGGGGACGGGGCTGCGTCCTCTTCTTCAGCCCCGTGGGTCCTGCGAGTCGAGGTGACTTCCGGATCTGCCACGGGCACGGCCGGGGACGCCGCCACCGGGGGCGGCGGCTGGGGCCGCTTTGGCCGGCTCTCCAGGTGGTCCGGCTCGATATGGTGGTGGGTCCTCCGTCAGGAGATCTATAAGGGGAGTATTGGGGTCTGGGGGAAGGACTGGAGGCTTAGGAGTCTCCTTGTGAGGGAGCACGGGGTAAAGGGAGGAGTCTGGGTTGGGGGGCGCAGACGGCCCAGAGACTGGAGGGGGCTGCGGAAGGAAAGGCTTAACCCATGGAAATGGGTTCTCGACCAGTGATCTCCAGATGGTGATATATGGGACCTGGTCGGGATGCCCATAAGGGCTAGGGGCGAAAACCTTACCCTCCACCTGCGAAATAAGAGAGAGGTTAAAAGATCCCTCTCGCGGCCAGCCGACATTCATCATGACCCATTCGGCCTCGCAGAAGGTGATCCATTTCTTCTTCCTGACAATGACACCTTCATTGTTTCCTCGGGCCTTAACATCGGACCAGTGGTCCTTGGTTAGGCTCAATGGGGTGGTGACAGCCTGTCCCATGGTGGTCTCCAAATAAAGAAGGGTTAAACACACAACGAGAAACAAACAGACAAGACAGACCACAGAATTTTTCGCTGCGCGGCTCCGATGTAAAACCGAAAGCAAAAACTCAGATGGGGACGCGGAGTGTTTGAATTCTCCGTCCCCTGCCAGTACCACGTATCCTTCTGATGCGTGGGTGGCCCTGAAAAACCGTGCCCCAGAGGGGACTTCCCGTGCCCCAGAGGGGACTTCCCGTGCCCCAGAGGGGACTTTCCGTGCCCCAGAGGGGACTTCAGATACCCGTGGAACGTCTTCCAGGGTTTCGGTGGGCGAAGTCCGAGCTCGTCAGCTCCTTCAGCCCCCACCGACTCAGACCTGACTTAGGATGTCCGACGAAAACGAAAGACAAGTAAACAGACTGAGACAATACAGACAGACAGTGGCCGGCCAGCTTACCTCCTGACAGTGGGTCGGTGGTCCTGAGGCGGGGGTCTCAAATCCCGGACGAGCCCCCAAATGAAAGACCCCCGACTGGAGTCTTCCCTCTGGAGAGACCCTCGCCCAGAGATCACACCGAGACCACAAGTCAGATGCAAACAGCAAGAGGCTTTATTCAGGAACACGAGTACCCGGGGCGATACAGTCCCTCCAGAAGCTGAAGAGACTGGCGCGCCCACGGGCTGGAGTGGAGGGTTTTTATAGGGTTGGGCAGCGGAAGGGCGGGTACAGAAGCAGGAAGCATAGTTTACAGGGTTCTGATTGGACGATTCGTATGAGGCCAGGTTCAAACTCAGGGCAGCTCGTGGTTTTTCCCCGAGCTCGACACGCCTGCTGACTTGGCTCTCATCCAGGGTACAAGTTGTTTTTCTGACCTCTAGTTACTTTTCAGGCCCTGCTCAAAAATGGCGTTAGGCTAAGCAAGTATGCTGGGGCCCTTCACTACCTTAGCTGGAAAATCTCTTCCCATCAAGTAACCCTGAAAATACAATTAAGTCTGGTGAGGTGGGTAAGACTGTTCCCCTACCCTGACACTAGGGAAATGAGAAGGAGAGATGGTACCCCCAAAACTCCCTCAGGACTGAGTAAGTGACTCAGTGTCCAACAGGAAGGAAACGGTTCGTGTAATGGTAACGCCCGCATTACCGTCACCCGTTCACCATGTCCGAGTGAGGGGCTGCAGATTAAAAAATTAGGGACAAGAGACATCGAGTCATTCGCCACGGCTGAATGCTGAGTGCCAGCTGAATGCCGTTTATTGAAAGAGGGAGGAAACCTTAAATACAGGCTTACAGCACAATGGTGGATCCCCGGAGGGCAGAAGTTCGCTACATTTTTGCATCTAAGCTGTTTACACCAAATGCAGGATACAGGAACAAAGAACCTCCGGTAGAATGTTAGGTGAGAAGGAAACCGGCAGGGAATCTGAATAGGGAGGACATCTGGTCAAGGTCGGCAAGCAGGGCGGCAGCCACTCACAGTGGGGGGCCAGGGCCCACAGGTTCGCCCTATGCTGCATCCTGGGTTCCCTGTGTGCCCGTGGCCAAGCCTTGGAGGTCTGTTGGAGGTCTTTGATGTCCCCATGCCATGAGGTGCTTGAGGGCAGTCAGCTGACCAGTTATCTCTCTAGGTGGCACTTTGAACAAGGCTCCATGGATAGCCCGAGAGGCAGGCCACATACTAGCCCACATGGCCTTTTCTAGCAAACAGGGACCTGGAAGCTCCTATGCAGGAGCTGCTCGGATAGCATGTGCCAGCATTTGGCAATTCTGTTCATGGGTTTTCTCATCTCTCCCATGGTACCTTAAATGCCACAGCTGAAACTTCCATCTGTGGGATTAGGAGCCTTGCTCTCCAGATGCTTAAGTTTAGCCCTGATGTCAGGAAACTCTGGGAAACAAGAGATGGATTTTATTCCATATCTTGAATTAGTGTTTTCTTTTTGTTTGTTTGTTTTTTGTTTTTGTTTTTGATAGTTTGCTGGTTTGAGGACAGCTTCAGGAAGACCCACTAGGAGGCAGGCTGTAAACTGTAAACTCTCTCTGGCTAGAGAGCCATCCTGATTATTATAATCCCAATGTGGATCCTGATCATAAACTTATTTGTATGTGTCTTAGCCTGCTTCCAGACCTGTCTGTGCTTAGTGGCCCACCCAGTACTGGAGAACAGAGCGGAGGTCAGATATGGGGAGGTTCTTTGGGGTGAGAGATTTCTCAGGTTGAGGAATGCAAGTGGGCAGGAGAGAAAGACTCAGAAAGGGAGGGTTCAGAGCTTAGGTAGAAGCGTGGGGATAAGGTAACTCTTTTCATTTGCCCGTTCGCTGCAGAAGTTAGATAATTCCTGTGGAATACTGGAGTTCAAGCAGTCATTACATGGCCAAATTTACTGGTATCTGTGGATATTTAAGGCATTTCTCAGAGGAGGAGTGGGACAATGAGGAGGAAGCCCCCATGTCCCATGACTGCAGCCAAGAGAAAAATAAAAATTAAAATAACAAACAGGATCCAAGACTCCTATCCTGGGTATCCCCAAGGGTAGTTAATATGTGGACTGGCAAAACAGCACAAGTTACCCCACCCTCCATCAAGGGAGGGACAAGGGCTAGGGGGCATACATACTGGAGGACCCCCAGAGTCCAGACAGCATTCAATACTTTGTTAAGAGAGAACGAGTTGTGGTATGCAGCCTGAGGACCCCTTGGGGGGTCTGATGCAAGAAATATATCTCAGGCTATGGTCATGGGATATGGCAAGAGATCAGAAAGGGAAAACTCACCAATCTAAGGCAGCCGGTGTGTTGTGCATAGCAGTCCCGGAAGCTGGGCAAATGAAAAAAGCAGGCAGTAATAAATCCAATAAAACTTGGTACAGGGTCCCAACTCAGAGCACTGGGAGAGCCTGCTTCATCACAGCACCAATGTTGGTTTTAAATGTGGCGCTTTTACTCTGTGAGGAAAGGTCACAAGGCACGACAAAACCCAGTCTCAGAGCTTTATTAGGAGTGGGGGTGGGCAGAAGAGAGTGTGTCCAGGCCTGTGGAAGAGACACGTGAGGAGAGAAGGGAGGGAGGAGAGAGTCGAAGAGAGGGGAGGAGTCTGTGACTGGCTTTTTAAGGATTTTCCTGCATATGTACATATGGGCTTACAGAGCTACGCCATGCACGCACAGATTGTGTGACCATGCCACGCGCATTATGTAATCACGCAGCGCATGAATGACTTAAGACATAAGACCCCTTACTTAGCTACTGAATGCAATGTGTGGTCATGCAGCTGCAGGAGTGGCAGAATCCTAACAGTTTCAGGTCATCATGTTATGGAGGAGAAGCTCATACTACAGCAGCCAGATTGAGGGAGGAGCAAGCGAGCCTGTGCTGGTGGGCCTTCTCCTCTTTCCTTTTCTACCATCGAGACCTCAGTCAACAGGATGGTGTCTCCAGCATTCAGGGTGGGTCTTCCCCATTGTTTATGCCTCACAAATGGAGCAAGGAGCTTCTCAGTACAATCAAGTTGACCCTTAAACTTAACCATCATAGATAACCATGACTTCCCTTTCAATTGCATGGCCTCTGCTGTATAGCTCCTTCATCTAAATAAAATGGTGTGCATACTCTGCACAATTAAATAAAACCAAGTGTTCCTCCTATTTGTTGTCCTACCAAAGAAGTTGTCCTACCAAAGAAGTCTTTTTTTTTTTTTTTATCTCTGAAGATGCACCTCCTCATTCCAAGTTCAGCTAACACAACCTTCCTCAAATAAACATCTTTCAATTTTAGGCATAAAAGTGCCCTTGGGAAGGAGGATAGGTGTGGGAAAAATTAAGAACAGAGCTAAGATTTGAAATAATTGATAGTAAGTTTCTATTTGCAATGAGCATAAGACCCATAGATTTATAATAGGACATGGAACTCCAGCACACATTTCTTTGTACAACTGAAACCCCATAGATGTATATCAATGCCACCTACCTCCTTCAGGTATGTTTCTCTCACCCTGGTTCACTCACCACCCACCCATCCTCCACTTAAGGGGTTCATGAACCCAGTGGATGCTATAGATTTCACTGTCCTCAAGTAAAGGCCCAATGCCCAGGCCCCATGGCCATGACCTCCATCTTTCTCTGGTCACGTCTCCTTCAACCTTCCTAAAATATACTTGCGTAGCTTTAGCTATACCTGGACAGTCTGTCCAATTAATTATCAATTAATTAATTGATTGATTAATTAATTGTACTTAATTATGAGGATGGATGAGTGGCATGGTACATATACAGAAATCAGAGGACAACTCTGTGAAGTTGCTTCTCTCCTTCTACCCTTACACAAGTTCCAAGGACGGGCCTCAAGTCTTCAGGCCTGCATGGCAAGCATTTTTAACCTCTGAGCCATCTCATCACTTTCTCTCTCTCTTCATTCTTTGCCACCTCTTCCTCCAAAACTGAGTCTCTACCTGTGGTTGTTTCTGTCATCTCTATCCATTCCTCCATGGAACTGCATTTGCATCAGACCTTACACTTAGTAGAAGGTGTTCAATAATTAATTATTGTTGTCTATCAGGTGTGGGTTCACATGGGTCTGTGGAAATAAGTACAGAGACACTCTAAGGATGAAAATTTTTAGCCTTTCCAGCTGCAGGGGGATCAGTCTCTTTGGACTGACACACTTGTTGCTTAACAAAGGGCTTTTTAAATGTTTTCCAGTTTACACCTTTTAGCAAGTTAATTTCAATATCCCCAAACCTCTTATCTAAGCTCCCCAAAGGGACAATGCCAAATGCAAATTCTCAGTTAAGGAAGACCATGGTTGTTCCCCAACCAAGTTTTGTATAGGCTTTGCACTTTTAAAAAACTCTCAGACAAGACTTCAAACAGAAGGTACTGGAGACAAAAGGTAGCAGTCACAAATAGCAGATCAAAGCTAGGTGCTAACACTCCAAAATCAAACCAGCTGCAGCTCTGCAGGAACTCTCAACAAATTACAAGAGGATAGAATTGAAGGAGGAGGAGAGAGGAGGAGAGAGGACAACAAGGATGTTAATCTTGGAGTTTATGAGTCCCAGTACTCTTCTTGCAAGTCAAAGATGGCTATGGTTTGGCACAAGCCATGT